TATACATACTATATATATATATATATAGTATATCTATACTATATATATATATGTATATATATATACATATATATATATATATATATACAAAATACTTGATAATGTGGTTTTTTACATCTGTAAATTACTATGACCAGGCAAGTTAGGTGTGGTGTGGGATTTGTTTTGGATTCTCTTTCATTGTGCCACATTTATCAAACATGAGAAATGCTATTTATGTTTTATTTCATGAGCTCAAAGTTATTTGCTGTATTTTCAGATTTCCCATAGGCTGACCATATTCTTTTATAGAATAATTATTATTAATCTGCGATTTGAATGTAGTGGTAGATTTTATCGAAAATAGTCGAGATATATGACTTTAGACGGAATTAGAATATTCTTGTGGCGATTTATGCTTAATGTGGTCGCATGATTGATGAAATTTACATGTTCACCGCATACAATCTGTTTCTACTTTTTCGGAGGTTAAAAGAATCGTCGATTTACGCTAAACTGCCACTTAGGTGTTTATATTTCCTAATACACAATCACACATAGCTCAGTTTGCACATGACAACGTTTTATTATTTAACTTGTAATACAACTGCTTAATGTTGAATATCGCTTTGCAACATAACTATTTTCAGTTAATTTCATTTTCTGGATTTGATGAAAGCGAACGCGCTGCGATGAAGTTTATGGTAGAAACAATGGGAGCCCGATTCACGCCTTATCTCAGTCGTCACAACAGTTTGCTTATCGCCAAAACGTATGTTTTTATACAATGTTTTTTTAATGTCATGGTAAAAATCAACACCTGTAATAATCCTGTATCCTTTGATCTATCACATCTCAATTATTTCAAACATGTATACATTAAAGTGCTTAACGTCAAGGGACCAATTAATTAGCTAGCAATTTACTTTTGTTATATTTACTGATGCAGTGTATCTCTAAGTGCAGAAATAAGTCTTTCTTTCATGACTGCTAATCCATGCTTTATTGTTATTTTCGCTATGAAGTTTTGAGAGATATTATTCTAATGTGGTTTTTCAAGGACATCTTTTCACTTGCGTACTAGTTCACTCCTCTTTCATTTTTCTTTTTTTCAATATCTAAAATTGTGTCTTAAAGCATGTTGTTTTTCCTAATAGAGTTTTCAACAATTCTCTTCGATGAAGATTCTCAAAGCTATAGGAATTCTCATCATAACAGTATGCTAATGTCGTTGCCATTTTGTCATTAAAAATCGTTTGCTTTTATTACAAACGAAACACGTTGTCAACAACTTCTTGACGGGTTAATTTTAGAACTTTTCGATTTTTTAACTTTCGAAAAGACTTAGATTACGTCGCTATGATACGGTAATGACCTAGAGGAGGAAGCATAAAAAGGATTTAAAAGTCCAACAAGGAAATCCTCAATTTATTCTAATAAAACCACCTGTCCCACACCGTCACATACAGTCTAAGGCAATTGTGTAAATAAGTTTATAATTTCGTAATTTTTATAGCAAATTGTTTTGTCAAAGTACTTTAAGGCTATTACTCACTACAGCAATCTGAGCAGTGCTCTCTCCCTTGCCTTACGACTCGTCATATTTTTTTCTAAAAAAAGTGAACTCCGTTTAGAGAAGCTTAAATGTTGTTCGCTGCTTTATATCTATTAAATTTAATTTCTGATTGTGATTTAACAATTGTTCATAGAGTTGGAGTTGAAAAGGTTGAGAAAGCCAGAGAGTGGGACATACAAGTTGTTAATTACCAATGGTTGGCTGATCACTATGCTGGTCAAAGAGTAGATGTTGACAATCACCGATATCAGGTTGTTTTTTCGTCCTTCAAATTTCAATAGGTGGTCAAATTTTTTTTTTCATCACAGGTTGGTCAACCGTGCGAAGGTGTCTCACCTGGGCCGTATGCTTTAGAAATGATCAATGACCAGTTCAAGCAATTGCTTCGTAAGTTTCTTGGTCGTTCTGGTGTTCATCCACTTGTGTTATTCTACTCTAGTGGCATGGAAAATCCCGGTGATTTTGTCTCCGGAACAGTGGCGACGTGCATTCGATACCAAGCATGCTGTTGAGAATGATGAGGGAGTGTTTCCAAACAAAAAACTGCGGTCAGCTGTTTTAACTGATTTTGCTTTTCATAGTAAATAAAGGAAGTGATCGTACAAATTAGACAAACTAAATATTTGAAATGATTTAGTGCTAATTAGTTCATTCTCTTGTATTTATTTATAATAACGTATAAACTGTTGTGTTCGGTCAACAAGAAAGTTTGGGAAGGGGCGGGCGCATAGCGCAGTGGTGGATACTCCAGTGATACGCCGGCCCAAATCAGTGGACCCTGGCTCCTCTTCTAAGCCTACCAAGCCCGCCATATCTCTGGTGTTGGTAAATTGGTGTGAGTTGATCTGGGTTAGCAGCATTGATTTGGTAAAGAGTGGTCAAGTAAACTAAAAGTCTATATTTAGACCATATTCGAATTTAATTCCTTTAACACTCTTACATTAAACACGAATGATTAGAGGTATCGATGAATTTATCAACGTTGAAACTTATAGCCATTCCTATTTATTATATATCAACTGTAGTAGGTTACAATCGTTTTGTTTTTATATACTTAATGATGTTAGTTGTAAGTGCTAATAAGATATCCAATCAGAATAAATAAAGCGTTGAGTGGTTGCAGTGGAGTCCTCCTCGTTGGGGTCTCAGTAGTGCAGTCAGTAGCGCAACAGACTGAACATACGTTGATGCGAGTTCGAATCCCGCCTAAGGTTGAGATTTAATTGAAGTATATCTTATTTTTTATCGACTGGAGGTCTAGAGGTATTGGAAAGGCCACGACAGCGGGTGCTCACGGGCGCTATCCGGCCACTGTGTCGCGCGGTGGTTTTTGCCTGCTCCCTTTCGGTCGGGGGCGCAGTTGCTCAGTGGTGGAGGTCCTGCAGTGACACGCCGGCTCAATCAGTTCGCCACCGCCCCCCAGGCCTACCACGCCGGCCATCTCTCCGGTATCGGTAAATTGGTACCAGAGAAATCTAGGTAAGATAACCGGCACTGACTTGGTGAAGAGTGGTCAACTCAAGTCATTGTATAGACCAGGCACGCATTCAACCACCTCCACGACGTTACGTCGAACATGAATGCGTTGGAGCATCCCGCCACAAGGGATTGATCAACGCCAACAATTATCTTATTATTATCTTATCTTACCCTTTCGGTTCTGAGCCGTACACCACTCCCTGACCGCCCGAGACATGCCATCCTCCGACGGCACAACTCTGGCTTGACACGAACGTCCCGTTGCCGCACTGCACGGCCACCGCGGGACTCCTCCCCTCACTCCATCCACACCAATTTACCGCCTAGACACTGGCTCACAGGCGCCCGCCACGACGCCCAGTTATCTTATTTAAATTTTCCAAATTAATGCATTTGAGAATGAGTCGGATGCTTGGTTTTTTTAATTTGAACGGAAGTGGTTCATTTTGTCCTGTGTGTACCTATTCAGTTTTCCCACATTTTACATTTGCATTTTGAAGAATGGCAAAAAAACATGTTCGTTTTTCTCATTACTCTGAAATCCACATCACTCTTGATCCGTATTTGTAGAGTTACAAATTGATCGCTCGTGAATTTTTCTTTTGCTTTAGATTCTAAATCTTGTCAAAAAATTGTATTATAGTTCAAATCATGAATAGCTCATTCGGAATATTGTTTAAAACCATTATGCGTCTATTTGGTATTGTATAGCGTTCCAGAATGCAATCATCACCACCAACTGAAGCAGAAATAGCTGCTCGAACTGAGGAACGTAAAAAGGCTGGTGACGCAAATCTGTCGTACGTGGTTGCTTTCAACGGCATTGATAACGAGAATAAGCACATTTTAACTCAGGTTTTTTTTATTGGTATATGACATAAATCTGTAATGTTTTGATATTGTATTGTTGTTAATCAATAATTTGGATACTTATTCCAAATGTTCAGAAAATTCGCTTTTTGGGCGGAAGTGTTTGTGAGCAAGTCTCAGAATGCACCCATCTAGTGACACCTAATGGGCGGCGAACTGAACGACTTTTAGAAGCAATATGCCTAGGAAAAAATATTGTAAATCCTTACTGGGTAGTACATGGCTATGAATGTCGGCAATGGATGGGTAAGTTGGTCCAAACAGATAGTAGTTTCATACTAAATAGTTCGGTGGTTGGTTATTTGACATCTAAAATTAACCACAATTTCCAAGTCATAGTTGTGTGATTATGTAACCATTGATCCGTAATCCTATTAGTAATTTTTTTAGAAGGCTATTTTCCATATTTTAGCAAGCTAAATCGATCTTTACTAATGCCATGTTATTTCATATACACTGGACTACTTTCTACACGATGAAGATCAAGAACGACATTTAGGCTACAACTGTAAACGTAGTGTGGTTAGGGCACGGCATCGTAAGGTGTTCGAGGTTCGGAAAGTGTTGTTTCTATGTAAATGATGATATTCACGAGATTTGTGGATTTTTTGATTAAAACTAAGTAAATTTATGTTGCAACTGTATCACAAATATAGGATTGTATAAATAAACTTTAGTTATATATGGCTAATGCATGCAATGATTGAATGATCTCTAATTTCATTATATCGCGTTTCCACTAATTTCTTCCTTAGTAATGTTCTATTCAATTTTTTCGTTGCAATTGTAGAGTATATTTAAATGTAATGGTTAATAATAGTAATATATGAAATAAACACAATGAGATGGTGATAATGGGCTAGTGCATGAGTTTGTGATTATAGAACAAAGCAACAATAACTTGGCAGACACAAAAGGTTGGAACAAGATTGCATTAAAGGTTATGAGTGATGTGATGGTAGAAGGTAGCTTACTGTAATTGCTCATATAGGAGGGAGGTGGACGAGTCTGAGATGTTGAAAGAATATCCACATTTTGGGTAACTCAAGCCACATCATAATGTAACATCTACCGTACAGCGTTGATATTATTTCATCTCTTTTAATCTTTTCTTTGCTACAAGCAGCGTTTGCCATAAAGTTTGAAAGCTACAGCCAGTTTAAAAGTAACTTCACCAAATTCTTTGATTGCAGACCTCACTGCTTTCTGGTGAGAAGCATAAGTCATCAATAGCAAACGTAAGCAAAGATGCAACATAGTTTCTCTGTTGCATAAATATCTATCGTCTCTTTTCCATTTGCCGCTTTAAAATGCTGTGATTGGTTTTGTTGTATAAACGTTATGCTTCATGAATTCAGGAAAAGTCGAGTGGTCCTACTGTTTGAAGTATACTTTCATCTTCGGAAATTACTTATGCTTTTTACATTTTGTTGAATATCCATTTCAAATTTGTAGTCTCCTACTTGGATTGTGTTAATTGATTCTGGTCTTTTTTCTGGTAATTTCAAGAATAACGTTTTATCTCTCGAAATTTTTCAATAATTCGACTGACATAGATAGTGATTGTAGGTTTTTATTCGAATTTAATCTCACGTGAAGTTACAAATAATGTATTCATGTTAGATAGCAAAAATAATTATTATTTGATACCAATATGTTTTTTTCATTTACAATTGATAACTCATAAGTTGATTTCACTTGAAATAGTGCGGCGAATCAACTCATTCGTAAATATTTTCATTTAGGACATTCAATTTTATATTACACCGTCAGTTGAACCAAGTCGAGGAGTGCTGAAGAAATTGATTTGTATTGCTGGAGGTATTGTTCATGATGACCGGCCAGCTCCAGCTGATATAGGTTAGTATTTCTAAGCTAAATTATGGTATCCTACATACATTCTATGAGAATTTCTGTTCTGCCAGCACGCTGTATTGAAACAGATGCACCTTTCGTCGTCATCAGTTGTGAGTGTGATCTTCGAATGGTTCAATATCTTATTGAATGCAATTTCCGTAAGTTCTTTACACATTTGCTCCGCACGTAATGTTGTAAACGAATTGCTGTTTTATAGTCACTAATTGATGATTTTTCCGTAATTTTAAGTGGAAATTTTGCAATGTACGTACCTTTAGCTGTCTACAACGCCGATTTTGTGTTAATAGCACTAATAAGACAAGAGTTAGAGCCGCATCCGTTGTACCGTGTGAATACGGCTTCTCTTGCAAAACCACCTGTGCCACAACCAGCAACAAGTCACTCGCACTATCGTCCTGTTCCTTCAAGGCCTATGATCGATCAACAACCACAGCCTCATCGTGTGAAAGCTTAACAACTACTGCCTCTACTTTAAGTGCCAACTACTTTAAGTCAATGTTCTTCGGTCCATTGTTTGCATATGTGCATCACAAGATTTTTTTTCTAACATGTTGTATATTTTTGTGTATTATGACATTCTACACTGCTTACGGGTATTATTTATTTTGAAAAATATTCAGTTTGAAATGAACGTTTCTATTTTTCGTGTAGCAGAAGTAAATATGTAAAACATTTGTTACAAAAATGGTTTACTGAATTTAATTGCCACACCGACTTCAATATTGACATTTCGTTAATATTTCCTTTGGTTGCTCTTATAACTTAAAATCATAAGTTGTGAGGTGTGTCTGGATTACGGTAATCTTATTGGGAAATACCTTTTCTGAACAGTGGCACGATATTTTGTTTACTCTTCAAAAAAATAGATTTCTGTCTGTTTATATATGATGGCTCGGACTGCGTAGCCGTATAGTTGATGTAACTAAAACTTAGATAATAGACCTTAATTATATATATAGGAGAAATACAAATTGTCATATCTATGACGATGCGAAGCAGATGTTTGTAAGAGCAAAGTCCGCCTTTCCCTGAGAGGAAGTGAAGAGAGATTGGATGAGAAGTGGTCTGGTTTGTTGAAGAGTCGACGAAGAAAAAAAGGTTTAAATCTCTTTGGGAGACGAGGATTATAATACCTTCATTCAATTAGAGTGGTAAAAATGATGGGTAATGAGTTTCGTCTCCACTAAATTAACTATATCGGTGGTTCATTGAAGAATAGAGGGAGAACAGAATGTACTGCTACAAACGCCACCGACGCAATGGAACTGTGGATTAATGATTGTGATATGTCGATAGCAAAACATGGCAGGAAACCGATAACTTGTAATAAGTTATCACTATGTCAGCTTCGGAAGGAAGCACTGGTGGAGCTGCGCTTGGATTGACTTGCTAATACGAACCCAATGATATAGATGAATAGGGTGGTGCATATTTGTACGAGTATAAATGCTTTGAATCCCAGTTGAAATCTGTCATAGCGTGAATTGTACAATCTGTTCTCATAGTCGAAGCTTTGCTTTACAATCCTATAGGTGCTGTGATAATATTGGAACATGAAAAATTGTCTATAGTTATTAGTATCAGTTCTAGAAAAAGAGTAATAAGAAATGGAAATTTGTTGTTGTGTGGCGTGACGGTATATTTCTTCAATTTCTTATCTGGTATAGTAGTTTGTAAGTGTGTATTGGGTGCTTGTCAGCTCTGAAAGCAATGTGCTTACTGTATCAATTATTTAGATTATCGTGTTGTGAATTATGAAAGTGAATAACTGAAGTTATACTTATTAATATGGTAAAGGAAAGGGAAGGAAAGCATACTGGCAATTTGATTGTCTTTGTTCACGAAGATTGTGGTGATGTTTTGGTGAATCCTCTTTAGTCTCTTGAGTTTCTTGGTCTTCAATGTTTTCAACATTTTTGTTTGCGTCGGTAGTTTCTTGTTTCTCGCTATCTTCTGTTCCTAAGCTGAAATTATTGTCCCTTTGATA